TATATCAATTTTGTGTTGAAACAATTCAAAGTGTTGAAAATACATTGTTTTATCCCCCCTTACCCTTACCCTGCTGATAAGCCCCTGCCTATATTAGTGAGCCAAGTCAGCGTACCAGTCTGCACATTTCGCCCAGTTTAATTAGGCTCAATTTGATTGGTTAACTGATTTTACAATTTTCATCCTGCTAATCCTATATATGTAAATGGACTGTTCCTAAAATAAATCGATGGACCAGTCCATTTAAGACATTCAGCAGGTTAAGGGTTAAGACTGTATGTTAGGTATAATATTTTATGTTTGTAATGTCCTGAGAATGTCTTGGGAGAATGTTTCTTGTACCAGATAACTCAAAACATCTCTTTAAAACATGTTAGGGACCTCTAGAGAAATAAAAAAATGTTTCAAATGCATTTTGTGCATGTTGTTATTTAACACCAAAACCCCTATACTAACTGCAATCCAGAATTGCTTGAACATTGTTATTCCAAAGAAATAATACACCACCATGCATGGCTATTACCTTTAATGGCATTAAACCTTACTCAGTATAGAAGGTGGTCTCGTTTCATCTACAAACAGGAAAGAACTGAAATGGATAGTAAGTACCTTTTGAAATTGAAATGTTCAAAGATTTAAAACAGTTTCTAATATTCTAAGTGTGCCAAATTATTTAAAAAAAATATTCATGTTAAATAAAGTGACCAGACACAAGCATCAATGAACATTTTTGAGAACCTTAGTTAATGCTTGACTTTTCTAACACATGACGTGTCTTCACAATCATTACTTTGACCTTTACCTTTTAGCTGGTGACCAAATACGTTGTAAAATGCAACACGCGTGCGATATACCTTTTTAAAAAAGATCTTATCACTACTTTACAAGTGTGACGACTTTGAGCTGGAGGCCTAATGTTTTTGATATTCACCATCTTAATGCTTCCACCCAGGAATAAGGACATGACCTGCATTCTTCTTTAATACAAGTTCAATGCGCAAGTGTGCCCTTGAATTTTGAGCAAGAGATTTGATTCTTGCAGACGACGGGTCGAAATCAGGTCAGTATAAAGTGGTCACAGAGCGCTATTGTGACCCCCACCCTCCGTCAGGCATTGTATGTTGTTAATTGGTATCTGTAACATCTCTTCTGAAACCAATAATTGGATGTCAACCAAACATTACAAAATGATCTCTTGGTTTACTCTTTTTAAAGTTGTTCAAGAGGTTCCGGTCCGTTGAATAAGAAGGTTACGGGGTTCAAAGAAGGTTTTTAAAAATGCAAATTTCAATAATCTTTAAAAGTACAATGCAATGCGTATGTGGTATATAGCATCATCTAGGGGTTCTCTACTTAAGTTCTTCACATTATGTCTCTTAAAACAAAATTGGAACCCCGACAACCCCACCCCATTTTATGTACATAGTAAAATCTTACAAAAATCTCTGAATAGCAAATACATGTAGTATATATTTGGCATGAAACGTCATGTAGTGGAGCTTCTTCAACTTTGTTGAATTTATGGCTAGGGGTCAGGACTGGCCCTTAAATTATCTTTTAAATACATCTTAAAAACATTGTTTGTAACAGTCCTAATGATTAATGCGGAGAGCAGATGACTCCTACTGATTTGAGGTTAGCCAGTCAATGGTCAAGATCACAGTGCCCTTTTCACTTTAACCTAGGCCAACTCGTAACAATAGAGAAAGTTATACCATACTGATACAGGCGAGCGTTTTGGGGTAACTGTAAAATCCATCCAGGAACGACAGAATGGTTCACCGGACACGACCATCTATAAAAAAAATATACATTGAAGACCTTTGTCTTTCGCGAAACACATCGTCTCAATATGCCGCATATTAATGCACAATTATCTTAAATTCCATAAAAAACGACAATAAACCGGACATAAGGTGAAAACTGACGGACGAACGGAAGGGAGGAAGGACGTACGTGCGATGCAAAAATGATCTACCTCCCCCGTTTTATTTCTTTTACAAAACATGAGATGTTTCAAACGTGGTTTATATTGGAACAATCTACCTAGGACCTTCAGGAACAATTCATACTGGAAATGAATATGCAGCATCCGGTCTGGAACACGAGTTTGTTGTTTAAAGACGTCATTTCCGTTGATAGTTTGAGAACTTTTTGGACATAACAATGCCACGGACTCGGGAGACGGTTATTTACACCATTGTCTATTAAAAACTATGATATATTTCTAATTTTGTATAATATTTTAAAAGTAATTGATCGTTGACCCATCATATTTTAAACGTAATTTATCGTTGGCATTATTTGCATGAAAAATAAACGCAAAATATCTTTGATCTTTGCTTTATGAAAGCACCAAACATAGAGAAAAACAGGATCCCTAAAGAAAGCCCAAAAACGGTAAAATTGAAAATGTTGCAGGCTCGGTTAGACTGAGCCTGTTCATGGACTATACTGGAAATTGCAGGTACCATCCATGCATCCTAGCACCGGCTTAAGCAGAATTCATCATCTAAACACGAAAATAAAGATAATGTCATCAGCCCAACTAACGATCAAATTAAAAGTCGATGTTACACTTGTACGTCAACCATGATATGATTGTGAATAGATAAATGGTCGTGTCCGATACATAACCTTGTCTTTCATGGATCGATTTTACAATGATTAAACATAAATGATTGGCAAATTAAGTGCCGCACGCAAATTCAAAGTTTGTAGGTTAAAGGTCAAGGTCACATATTTTTTCCATAAAATTGCATAGATATTCGTGTCCAGTCCAATAGAGATGTGCTTTCAAATAAGTCGACGTGATATGCGCAGGAATTAGGTTTCCAGGTCAAAGGTCAAAGTTACACTTGTATGTCAAAAGTCATGTTATTATTGTGCATTGATAATCTTGTTTTGTGTATAACTTTATGGATGGATCTTGAATTTTTTGCATAAATGTGTTGCACATAAATTGTTGCGTTGAAGTGCATTGAAGGTTATTACGATCAGGCATATATTAATTTTAAAATAACTTTGTATATGCAACATTACGATGTCAAGTCATGCACAAGGACAAGGTCAGCATCTCAAAGGTCAATGCCACATTTGTGTCAAATCGATTGATGTCCAGTCAGTCCGTTTGAAAAACGGGTCGTATTACTAGTATAGTTTCCCCTGGCGGGCGGATGCGTCCAATTTTTGTCCAAAGCATATTTCCAACACGCATGTAGGAATTTTAATGAAACTTTGAGGAATGTCAAGGTCACTAAAGATGATAAAATATAGAGATTTTTTCTAGAGCATATCTCCTACACATATGCAGGGATTCTAATGAAACCTCATACAAATGTTCACCACTATAAAAACAGTATAGCGTGCATGAACTAGATCTCCAGGTCAAAGGTCAAGGTCACACTAAAATTGTCATTGAAAAACATTGGTCCTGAGTAAAACTTTTACATACATAGAGGGATTTCAATTTAACTTAGCACAAATATTCACCATTGTGAGGCCGGAGTGTCGCGTGCATATTTTAGATCAATAGATATGATAAAATATAGAAATTTTGTCCAGAGCATATCTCTTCCACGCATGGTGGAATTCTAATGAAATTTCATGTTCACCACTATGACAGTGTCATATGCATAAACCAGGGCTCTGGGTTATAGGTTAAAGTCACACTAAGAGTTCACTGAAAAATGCTTGTTCGGAGCCGAACTGCCTACATTAATCGGGGGATTTTAATGTAACTTGGCACAAATGTTCAAAGTCAAGGTCACATAGAGAGGTCAAAGTTTATGTACGGGGACCATTCATTGAAGGTTGTAACACGAATGATAAATTTCATGACTACAAGTGTGATACTTGTAATTTAGGTTAATATTTGCAAGGTCAAGGTCATTAGAGATGATTAAATATCCAGATATTTTCCGGCAATTGCACAGAACATATCTCCTATATGCATATCTATAATGCCCACATTTCTGTCAAAAGCTTTTGTGACGGACATATTTTGCGACAATGTTGCCCTTGTTATTAATAAATTTGAGCATTTTTTCTTAGAATGTGTTAGACGTTAAGAGATATGTCACACGTAAAACCAAGTTTGTAGCTCAATGACAAAGGTCACACACGAAACATTATGTTTGAATGGTTGTGGCCGGTCATCGATCTTTCATCCATAAATATTTGGACAAAGACGACATGTAGGTTTCAGAGGCAGTTCAGAACGACAAAGGTCAAGGTTGCACTTGAATATTATTTGATTATAAGACATGTTCAATCCATAGTTTTGTCGTACATTGTTTATAGTAACCCTGGGTTCATTGTAAGTCAAAGTCCATGGTTGTCCAGCTTCGAAGGCATGACACTGTTTTAGTCCGCATTATGTAAAGAAAATAAAAACAGCCTTTGTACCTCACAAAACCCTTTCTTTTTAAAGTGTTTATATTGATACAAAAAATGAAAGATTATTTCAAGGCCCAATGAATGTTAGATATGAGAAAACCGTACAGCATCCTTTAGGATGCCAGTATACGGTAGATGTATAAGGAAACTTTTCACAGTTTGTATGCAGAAAATACTAACAAACCATGACTATTTATCCTACCAGGCAGTGCTTATGGTATGTATTGTTTACAAAAATGAATTGGCGTGAAAGGAAAACTACTAACAAATATTGCATGTTGACAATGCAAGGAATTAACTCCCTACTCCAATCCTTGAATATAAACCATTTCTTGACCGAATTTGACAGTGAGGTCGTTATTTACAATGCTTGATAATGAAAAATAAAGTTTATATTTATTCGGAATATTGTAAAAAAAAAAGGTGGAGGTATAAAAACCATGTTGCAATACCAGAAACAAGTTGTTTATTTCAAGTTGCTATTCCAGATATGAAATACTCTGAAATTTTAAATTACACAAAATCTTATTTATAAACTAATATTCATTGTGCATTTCGTATGGCGTAATTTTCTGAATATTTTTTCTCTATATTTATTGCAGGTAACTACCTGATTGCGGATATATGATATTCTACGTTACTTTATTGCTGTTGTGTTGTGGATGTGTCACATACGTTATGTATGTTTCTTTGGAACGAATTCTATGACGAACACTGCCACAATGCCTTCTTGAATACAATTACAAGGATAAAGTGAAATACTTATAACTGCCGTTACCAATGTTTGATTTCATACGGTTTTCATATGTATAAAAAGCTTGGCTTCTGCATCGACTGAATTTAAAGAGGCGAATAAATTTGAGCTTTTTACTGTTCATTATTTTACATATACGTTACTGGAACCATGTGCAGTTATTTCATCTACGTTACCTCGTATTAAAAGAGGGTATCAATGCATTTGTAAGTACATGTATGTAACGGAAATGACAAATGTGTATAAATGTTTTCTAGTTTTACTGAACTTCACTTTATGAGGCATATTGCTTTAAGTGTATGTTTTGTTTTAATCGGGTGATTGCTAGAGGTTGAAGTACTGGTAATTTATTAAATTTCGTCTAATGTACAAATTTTTGTTTCATAATTTTTAGCAATGCATTTTATAACTGTATATCATCGTCTTACTTTTGTTGCAAACATGGACATAAGTGCTGGGAATGAATGAAATTTTTACGAGTATATAATTGATTATATGGACTAGAATGAATGAAAGTATGTAACGGAATGAATTTATAAATTGTGTCCGGCAAGTTTGTGATATTTATGAAATTCGCGTATTTAAGATTGCTCCGTTTGATTGTATTTGTTTAGAAAACATACATGTATTTAATGTCAGCGTGTTAAGCATTATTATATATGACCAAAATCTCAACTTAGAATCTAAAACTCAAAATATCACGAAGTCGACAATATTTCGCGGGAAATGAATTCAAACTTAAAGTTCATCTCGTTAAAAACATTTCTTTGACCGAATAGGATTAACAATAAAACTTTTCGGCGAATTTTCTCTGGTAATTTCGTGAAAATACAGCAAAGCAAAAGATTTAGTTTTTTAAGCCATTTTCCTAAAATAAGGTCGAAACACTTCACAATGAACATTTTTATCAGAACATTTTGCCCGTTATAATTTGGTAAAACCATCCCGCCTCTTTTAATTTTGCGTATCCTAATATACTTATTAAATCGATTAATTCTTGTAAATGGTAAAGATTTTTTTACCTCTGATTTTATCGTGGTTTCATTTGAGTTTGTTATAATTGAATATATAAGTTGTTATGTTCCTATATAATTGTCAATTTTTTATTGTTCGCAATTCTGTTAATTCTTTTCTTAGTTTCGATCACATTTAAAGTCTTTTTAAGTAGACCTGAGCACAACGTGCTTAAGGTCACCTATTGCGGCGGGGTTTTGTCCGTTGTCCGTCATGCGTCGTCAACTTTTGTCCTCCTAAACTATTGGGCCAATCTTGTTAAAACTCAACAGGTTTGTTCCTGGCCTGAAACTATTTTAAAATTATTAAGAGAATTCCATTCCGTGGAGAACTTTGGTTGCTACTGTTTTGTATTGAGAGCTTTGCCATTGTTTATATCAGTTTTAGACGTACATTTGAACTTTGATAACAAATGACCAAGATTTTGGCCCAGGTATAAAATGTTTGTGTTAATAGCTACAGCTATGAAATTTGGACTATATTCTCAGTTTTTAGCTGATGCAAATTTTACTTTTGGTAACAGTGGACTTGCCATTTTACCCAGTAACATATTTTTAAGCGTTTAGCTCACCTGAGCATTATATGAATTACAACTGTAATACATAATTATACTGCTTAGGTGAGCTATATATTGTTTCTCAGATGAGTGATATACGGTCTTTTGGGCCTCTTGTTTGATAGATATGGAAAATGAAACTCTTTGTATTTTCTCTAGATAATTTTCACTCTGTAATGAGTACTGTTAGGTTCAACGAGTGATATTTTGTTTCTTATGACCGTAGAGTATCATATGTTTTTCATCGGTACGAATGCTTTTGTGACATAAAATCAACTGGTACTTATACTTCTAAGTTTTGAAAATTTAATTAATGCATAATGTAACTGAAAAATATAAACAACAACAAACATTCTCTATAGGGATGGTTAGCATTTTTACTAGGAATCTGAGATGATCAAATAGCAGCCTTCCATTTCGATATTTTAGCCAAACTTCGTTTGACAAAAAGGAAGGCTGTCATTTTGAATGTCTATTTTTAGAACTGTTCGATTGGATGATATCAGAATGAAAATTTAAAGACCCATTATGCCTTTTTATTCCTAAAACAATCGGTACTTTTATAGTTTTCAAAAAGTAACTCGTTGGGAAATTACCTGAAGCATCTTTTTCATTTGTTGCTTTTTTCGCAGAATGAATCAGTATTTTGTATGGAAGTCAAAATACTACTTTGTTAACATTTTGTTACATTTATGACAAATTTATTACAAATTAATTCACATTTATCGCTACTTTCTTCAGGTAACAAGCATCTGTCATTCTCTAAAACCATTATTTAAACATTATAAAATTCACCTTTAAAGGTAAAAAAAATATTTGTTTCTGAGGCATAATGTGCCTTTAAAGTAAGTCAGCCGATAATTTAGAGTCTGGTCAGTCTGCATTTAGATATGTACCTGTACCGTATTTAAGAAGTCTGCCGTTGAAATTTAACTTTAAGGAGAAGGGGTATAAAGCTTTATCAATGAAATAGTGTTTACATTTTGAATGCCAAGACTTAATATTAAAAACTTAATACTTTAATTCTTAAAAGTACATAATGTTTTTTAATGTATCCAACAAATAATCAGGAAAATGTTGTTAACTATGAACGAGTATTAAAGCATTGTGTCACATGTTTTTTTTCATCTGAAATAGGTTGCAATTAAAAATTTATGTTGAAAAAGTTGAAGAATCTCTTTGTGCGACTACCAAACGACAGTTACCTGCCTGTGTAGTTAGTATATTAAAGTCGCATGCCTCCAGACAAGCTGAATTATTTCAATCAAATAATAATTTACATGTTGTGTACGATTAATGACCGATTTTGAAGTATTTTACCACCATATAACTACTGCGTGACTAACGCAATAAGAGCTATTTTGGCATATTTTGACCTCTTTTTAGTAAATTTCGTGGATTGCTGTTTGCAATTACTTCTTTTGTTTACTTCACAAAATATTTGACTTATAAATACATTTTTAAAATTTTCATGAAAATTAACAAGAATCTGGAGACATGCTGCTTTAAATCAGGCGAGTAGTAAGTCAGGCCAGTCTATACATAAGGATCACTCATTTTTATATTGAAACCCCTTAAAACAACAAAAGACTGATTCAACATCCAAGCAGGACAAGTCCATTACACAAATTTAGCAAGGTCAGGGTGACTTTCATTCGGATCACCTCGACGATTATTAATAATCTTATCCGAAGATCGCCGTAAAGATCCGAAAACTTGCGATTGGATTAATGAGAACATTCTTGACTTTGGGAAATTATGAAATTTCATGTCATGTAATGAGTTGTCACCGTATATCTGTGCATATAGATGATGTCTGTGTCCGTCTGTCTGACCTAAGTTGACCAATGTTGTTGTAAATATCTACTCATAGACGATAGCTTTTTAGACTTCGATGTTGTTACAATTTTATTTTCGACTTTATTTTACTTTCAGACCCTAATGTACACATTTTGTGATAATAAATAAACTCAAATAGTCTTTGAAATTTTGTTGATTTCTTTATCACTTCCGTTTTTAGCTCACGTGAGCACAACTTGCTCATGGTGAGCTATTGTGATCCCCCTACGTCCGTCGTCGTGCGTCGTCAACAATTTCTTTAACAACATCTCTTCAGAAACCAATGACTGCACAGTTACCAAACTTTATAGGAATGGTCATTGGGTGGTCCCCTGCCAAAGTTATTCAAATGATTCCGGTCTGTTGCATAAGTAGGCCACGGAGCTAGAAAAGGACTTTAAAAATGCAAATTTTAAAATCATCTTGTCTGAAAGTACAAGGCCTAGAGCTTTGATATTTGGTATATGGTATCACCTATAGGTCCTCTACCAAAGTTATCCAAATTATAGCCCTGGGGTCAAAATTGGCCCCGTCCGGGTTGTCGTGGGTTTTCCTTCTAAGAATGTAGTAAAAAAAATCTTCTTGTCTTTAGAGCTTAGATATTTGGTATGTAATATCACCTATAGGTCCTCTACTAGAGTTGTTCAAATTATAGCCCTGGGGGTCAAAATTTGCCCCGCCCCGGGGGTCATAGGTTTTCCTTATATGTATATAGTAAACACTTAAAAATCTTCTCCTCTAAATTGACAAAGGCTAGAGGTTAGATATTTTGCATGGAACATTGTGTAGTGGAACTCTTCCAAGATTATTCAAATTAGCCCTATGGTCAAAATTGGCCCCGCACCTGGGCCATAGATTAACCTTATATGTACATAGTAAAAACTTAAAAATCTTCTTGTTTGAAGGTACAAGGTTTAGAGCATAGATATTTGGTATCATCTATAGGTCCTCTACCAAAGTTGAACAAATTATAGCCCTGGGATCAAAATTGGACCTTCACAAAAAATTAACCCTTTTTTGTATATTTTTAAGACCTGGTAACTTCACTTTTGTATATAAATTGCATTTTGTACTCAGGTGAGCGCATTTGGTCCAATGTCCCCCTTGTTTTTAAAGAAGTTCAATGCAAGTATAATGCCCCCACCCCCCATTGACCTGTACTATTATTTCTTTGAAACATATGATCTTAAATCAGGGAGTAGGTGTAATTTGTGTAACATTTGTGTATAATTTGTGTAATGAAGATGGAAAGGAAATACCAAAAGCAGTATTTTATATCATATTGGGAATGGTAGTACATGACGATATACAAAAGCAAAAAACTTTGATAAACCTGTAGAAATGCACATACTGCATTTAACGGTCACTCGTATCCATCTTTTAACTTACAAGACCTAGATTGACAGTGGGAGTAGATTCTCGTGCATCGTTCAAAGTCCACAATCCTCAAAATAACTAACCTTTTTGGAAACTTGCAATTCTGACACATTAAGGCGAAACTCTTATTTTTCAAAAAATGTTCAAACCTTTGGGTCACTTATTTTAAATAGACTTACATAGTAAAATACTGAAAAGTCTTCTTGTGGGAAAATTTAATTCCAAACATTTTGTAGAAGACATCTTAAATTATGCAGGTTGAATAATGATAAAATATATAAAACAACAACAAAACCAAAACAATTTGACCTATATCTGACTATTGAAGAAATGAGACCCTTTTTAGCAATGTATCTAAGGTGGACGACTCAGGGCCATCATGACTCTCTGTTTTAATATTATTATTACACGTGGTATACATATTTTAGAAAAAATGTCTTTTAAAACATTGGCAATTATTCTCTCATTTCTTAATGGATTATCTTTATTCTTGGACACAACATTCTTTTTGGACAAACATTAAATTTTATTTGAATTATACAAGGACAAAAGTACCATTACGACAAATCTCGTATGTTGAATAATTTAAATATGACCTAAGCCTATATTTGACCTCGACCGTCTTGGTTAATTTATTGAAATGTTGCTTAAATTGTCATAACTTTGTTATTTATTGACATATTTGATATATAGCTGGTCAAAATCCCTTTATCAAAAGAACCCTTGCCACAAAACCCTCATGTTGAATAATTCAATCTGATTAAGTCCAGCTCCTAAGGCTACGCATCTGGATCTGACGGCGAAAGTTGTCTCCTTCTCTTCACCTTTCAAACAGCCAATCATCGGCAAGCTTTCACAATTTTGAAAGCGATGCTGTTTCTAATTTTAACTGCTGGAAAACCATTACTGAGTTGGTAATTTTTCACAATTTCGAGAACAAACATGGTGTTGTCTATATATCCGGCAAGTACATCTTTCCAAATTGAGTCTGTTATTTCTAGTTCGTCTAATTCCTATCTATGAAGGACGGTTTAATTGCATGGCTAAAAATAGCTTTCTCGGGAAAGAAGGCGAAACAAATACAGTAACACAGGAAATACTTAAAGAAGATCTGAACTTTAACAGATTGATGAATAATTCAAATATGACATTAAATTCCTATAACTTTGTTGTGTGTTTTAAAGATTTGATTTATACTTGGACGAAAAACAAAAATGTCTTAAATGACATGTTGAAATATTCTAATATGATCTTTTCATTTTATTACATTGACTGTCAATGTCAAATTATTGAAATTTGTTTAAACTGTCTTAAATCTGTTAATAATTTATGGCTTTTATTCTTTCTACATATGACTAAACTGATATGATTATTAATACAATGTGACCTTGACCTTTAAATGCCCTTGACCGTCATGGTCAAACTCGAACTTTGTGCTATATCCTGTACAAGTGTACATGAAAATTATGTTTTCTATGAGAATTTTTAATGCAATGTTCCTCCTCTGTTGTGTTTAACTTTCGAAATAAGAAAAAGTCGAGCGAGGTCTCCGCTAGGCTTCTTGTTACATGCCTATGAAGTCTATTCTTAATGAGGGTCCATCCGTCCGGCACAAAAAGCAGCTTTCGCAGTCGAGTACGTACCCAAGACTTGTCACCAGTCGTTAGGATAAATTTTGATAATTTACCTTTGTGTAATTTCCGCAGAGTATTAACCAAATAGTTGAATGTATTTTTGAACCGAAATTGGGTTAATTTATAACTGTCAATGAGAACCTTAAAGTACATAATAATAAGGTGTTGTTGCCCTAAAATAATCTTGAGCTATTGTTGCCCACAAAGAGTTCTGTCGTTGAAGCCGCCTCATCGTACTTGGAATTCACAGACTTCACTATCCTTCGATGTCGTTCCTGCCTACATTGCAGAGCCACTTCCCACGGTTTCAGTCAGGACAGAGGCAGCTACATTTTTTACGAATACAAACACCTTTCATAACCGACCCACTGTTTCGTTTATTGCAAGCTTGTGAGCACAGGAAGTAGATGTGTTTTTGAGGCCAACTATACGACAGAACAAAAAAATAACAAAGCCTCGTTTTGGAACTTATTTTTATAAACCAAACAGTTAAAACATTTACATTATGATAATTGGACTGAATCATACACGCATTTAAAGTATTCTCAGTTTTGCATAAATCAGAAAATATCATCACCTCAGAACTGCCAAGCGGCTGTCAAATATTTAAAGACTGCCATTTATCGTCTGCTGCAAGATATCTTCCTGTCGGAATTCGACACGCTACTACCAACTTTTGACAACCGCTGACAACATTTGAATGTATACACTAGGCGCGATTTCCTTTTCATTTATTTTAGAATAAAACATAAATTTTGATGATATAATCTTTGATATTGGCTATATTACGGTTTTGTTCATTAGAGTCCTGCACTGTACCGCGTTAACTGTTTGTTTAAAAAATGATTGATTTATAAATAAATACATTGTTGGTAGTGTCGTAAGTTTGAATTTAGACATATAGTGGTGTGAAACCTACTTATAATAAAAAAGCAATTTGTTCTTGTTGTTAATGTTGTTTGTCCACTGAACATAACTTGTTCATTTGAAGATAAATTATTTGGTCAACAGCGCTTTACTTTCACCAACGTCTTCTTAATACATGTGCCGGGTTAAAATATTCTTCCAGTGTTGACAAATCAAACAAGAGTTCGATAGAAGTTCATACTAATGTAGCAAATGTTTATTTTTTCAAATGTCTGATGAAACAGGTAAAATATCCAAAATGGCGTCTCCAAGGTTTTTAATTTATAATATTATCTATACATCGAAACCTCAATAATGGAATTTGTATACCGCTGCACATGCGCATCATTATCATGTCCTGCATATTCACTGTAAGAAACAAAACAAATATACAAATACATTTTAAAACAAAAGGAGTGGAAACAAACGCTTTTCATGGTGAAATCGCTGTTATAAAACGCTTTCATAATGTAACTTCCGGAAATCATAGTAATTCCTCTGCAAATGCAGGACGTTATACAAATCATATTATGTCTGGGTCTACATTTTGCTTCCCTTTTTATTCACGAAAATTATTTCCATTTTCTCGAAAAGATAACATGAAGTCTATGCATTTTATAGGTTATGTTCCATCCCAACTTCTGTCTCAATTGATGTACGTGCTCATACAGAGAAACGATGGCAAGTATTGTAGACACGCCATGAAAGGAAACATATTATTAGCGTCCACTGCAAAGAAAAAGAAACCAAAACATACGTATATTCCACCTATACAAAGCATTCTATGTACAAGACACCAGTCAATTGTTACCAAGGTCCCATCCTCTATCAGGGCCGGAGATTTTATTCTCCGCCTTACCCCTGTTTGGTCAATGTGGTGATTTTATTTTGGTGCAAAAATAACGGGAGATATTTCCAACTGGAAGTGTGGCGGAATTAAGTGCGAAGTTTACTCCTCCCCCACCCTCATTTTCAAAGCGAAGTCTTGATCGGGAATTTGAAAATCCACAAGATAACATTCCCCCTAGTTCCTTCCTCCTACCCTTCCCCTGCCCCGTTTCAACAAATGGCCAGGGTCACAGTTGAATGTTGCTAAACCGCTTCCACATTCTTAGTGCTACAACTTTTGGAACAACAGATTACCAAACTTATCTTATCCTTAAGCAAAGCAAAATGAGAGAAAAAATAGCTTATTAAGTGAAAGAAAATAAAGACGACAGCTTGAAGCAATGCATTCGTTAAATCAAGATATGGAACTAAAAATAACCTTTAAATAACCCTTAACCTGTTGAATATCTCAAATGGTCTTGTTCCGCTTCCATATTCACAGTGGGTAAGCAACTTTGGTCATGTGACCACAAAAGTCAACGTACACGGCCAAAATAGCTCGGTTATGGTTAGTTTTTTTAGTGATTATTTTATGTCTATCCGATTTAAATTATGCTACATAACCTACCGACCGCGGCATTTCCGATGCTTTCTAAAAATGTATTTAGTTTCGTCCAACGTTTTGTATTTTATGAGAGCATTCAAACAATATTTGCAAATTGTCGATGACCACGTACACACTATTATGTAAAAGTGTTGATGAAAACTTAATAAACGATATGCATGTCAGTTCTAAGTTAAATTTCAGGTCTTAAAATATATAAGAGAATGTTTTAAAGAAAAAAGAACTGGTTTCCTGCTGTCATTTTTTGTATTTATTTAAAAATTGACCAACTTACAGAAATATCAACGTACACATACTTTCTAGAAAGTGTCAACGTACACACTCCTAATTTAGTTTAATAGTGGTCTGAACATGAGACTGCAGCTTTGAAGTAGGTGGCCTTTTCCAACAAAAAGTTGGCTTTCAATTTAGATTGCACTCTCAATCTGTATATAATTACTTTTTTCAAAGGAAATAGTTTAGAGTGCATTAATTTCATCGCAAATAAGCTTAAACAACCTTTAACTTTTTATGTTATTTATTTGTACTTTTATTTTGTAGAAGACAAATTTCCAGTTACTCAAATGGCTTAATGATTAGCTGAAACAGACGTTTTATTATATTTTACACTGAATTAATATAGATCGTATTACAATATAGATCGAAATTATTAATAACGTTAACAGCCTGGAAAAGGGTCTCTTGCTCAACCAACTAGTGTCTTCCGTAGCAGCAAAAGGGTCCAAGGTTGACGATGACGCCGACTTACAATTTTATATTATCGGGTTTTCAGCAGTTGCGTCACTTGATCACTATGATTACATCACTAATGTTTTATTAACATTATATTTTCAAGAATATATCTACTTGCACTTGTTATGAAAAATATCTTATATACAATTCACCATTTTATATATAGGTTGGTTAAGGCAACAAATTATACCCTTTTGTTAAATGGTTAGTTACTAGTACCAAGTTTCTTGTAAAATGCTTTTACTGCTCAAGAAACCAGTTACTGGAAACTGGTTACTACAGTAGTAATAAATTTACCGGAAAATGGTTTCTAGTAATAAATTTTCCTATCTTATTTTGTGCGCAATGTAAGAGCTATAGATATGAATCAATGACATTGTTGAAATATTTAAAAAGTTATATCAAGTACCACAGTCATATTACCCACTAGTAATCATAGAAATGCCGCAATATATATTGAAATGATTGTTACAATGCAGACATTTTATCGACATTTTGCTCAAATAAAATGGTTTGCTTGAATTTAAAATTTTGATTGCAATGCAAATTATTAAAATGTATGGCACTTGAGCATTTTTGTTGAATACATATCAGACTTGTAAATTAGCAGACATGGTTGGCAAAATTTGCAGTGAAACAACAAGGGCAAAGAAAACTGTGAATGCAAAAATACATATCAAGCATGTATTAAATAACAATGGTGAATTGTGGCAATAGCATAGTGCAAGGAGATATATTATTGAAAATATAATGTTAATAGAACGTTCGTGATGTAATCATAGGGTTAAAGTGAAATAACTGCCGAAATACCGGTAATACCTATAAAATAGTCACTCGGCGTCATTGCCAACCATTGACAACTTTTGTTGCTACGGAAGGCACTAGTTTGGTTGAGCAAGAGACGCTTATCCTGGCTGTTTACGTTATTAAATGACTGTAAAATGATCTTAATTAATACAGTATACAATTGCTGTTTCAGCAAATCATTAAGCATTCTGAGTAACTGGATTTTATTCTTCTAAAAGAAAACCACAAAACAACAAATAAATAGCATTATAAAAAAATTAAAGGTTGTTTAAGCTTATCTGTGATGATATGAATGTACTTGCAACTTTTCTCCTTTGTATAAACCTGTACTTATAAACAGTTTGAGAGGGCAATCTAAATCGAATGTCAACTAGCTTTTTGTTAGAAAAAGACACCTACTCCGAAGTTGCAGCCTCATGTTCATACCACTATCAAACTAAATGGTGTTTACGTGACATTTTCTAGACAGTATGTGTACGTTGATATTTCTGTAAGTTGGTCAATTTTTAAATAAATACAAAAAATGACAGCAGGAAACCAGTTCTTTTTTCTTTAAAACATTCTCTTATATATTTTAAGACCTGAAATTTAACTTAGAACTGACATGCGTATCGTTTATTTAGTTTTCATCAACACTTTTACATAATAGTGTGTACGTGGTCATCGACAATTTGCAAATATTGTTTGAATGCTCTCATAAAATACAAAACGTTGGACGAAACTAAATACATTTTTAGAAAGCATCGGAAATGCCGCGGTCGGTAGGTTATGTAGCATAATTTAAATCGGCTAGACAGAAAAATAATTACTAATAAACTTACCTCAGCCGAGCTATTTTGGCCGTGTACGTTGACTTTTGTGGTCACATGACCAAAGTCGCTTACCTACTGTGATATTAGAACAGTTAAATAATAATTTTAGGATGTTAAGATGAACATTATAAATGAGCTAGCAAAATCTCTTTTGATCTCAGCAGGGTAAAGGTTTCCAAATATATCTATGGTTGCTGATTTGTGCCATGACGTCATTTCGCTCCACGGGACGCCAGGTGAAAACACGAAAATACGACAAAGTGGTGACTGTCGTATTATCGTCTGGCGCGCTGCAAAGCGAAAGTACGACAAAATCTTGATTTTCTTGTATTTTCGTGTTGTCGACGTACACCCCGTAAAGCGAAAATACGTCATGGTACAGATCAGCCATCATATAAATCTAAAAATTGCAAAAAAAAAATGTCTTTCTAAAATTATCTTTAGTAGTTGTAGCACTTTGTTAAAATTTTAAAATGCATTTATGGAAATACATCAATTCGCTTCAAAACATTGGTAGTTTGGAAGAAGATTGTAAATGTGTCGGAACTTAAACGTTATCAAGTCTCGAGAATTTATCAATTAATCATAATTGTGTAATTTTGAAATGTTAAACAAGTGTCTCGTGAAAATCGTGCAAAATTAAAGACCTATGACGTCATTCAAAAATATCAGTGACAGGTGCTCCATCCGGGTGCTTTCCTGTCGACCTCTTTGATTTTATCTGTTCACGTGCATTAATTCTAGAATATGTTCTGGATCTCCTATTTTGTTAACTGATAAATTCTCGAAATGTATTTCTAAGTAAGCAGCTCTAGTGGAAGACCTTTTCCCATCATTTTTTAAAACACCTTTTCCATCACTTTTTTCTTCCATACACACTTTTTCCACATTTTCTGGTAATTACCATTTCCACATTTCTAACAACACTCAAAGCGCATTAAAGGCGTATACCACATACTTCAGTTACAAATAAACACAGAGACAGGAAATGAAATTAAAATGAAGTTAAAATTAAATAAAATTAAAATGTAATAAAAATAAAAATGAAATTAAAGTTTGCTTGATATCAGTCTCTTTCAATACGCGTAAAAGTCGAAAATTGCTGTTCTTACAGACCACATGAATTAGCCGTCTGATTATCACTGTTAATCGTTAAAGGGTAAAAATCTTATAAAATAATTATTTAATTTATCAACAGCAAAATTAAATTGCTGACATGATATACTGCCGATTCCCGAAAACATTGTACAAATGAATATTATATGTAAACAGAATAAAATGTTCCGAAACAAAAAATAATAATAATAATAATAATGAAATAAATGCTGCTATTTAAAGTATGTTTAAAAGAGACTAAGGGACTCCATAGAGGTCCAAAAGCCTTAAACGCAAATAAATTTAAGATAGATCAGCTGGGGCACGGAAAAAAACACAGAAAAATATTTAAACGAAAAATTAAGAATTGGACTCAGAAATATATTGAAAGTCATATTTTTGTGCTATTCTAAGCCCTTCAATATTGTGTCATATTTCAAATCAGAATAATCATTTTGGAAAAACAGAATAAGGGAATGATGTGAAATTTTGCAACAAACTTATCAGTCAAGACCTACATCAAATGGAATATTAATCTTGAAAGATATTTCCATTAAAAAAAACTCAGTTGACCCCCTTTAAGTCAATATAGGTCTACATGTACTAAAATATTTTTTTCATTCTTTTTTTTTTAAAAAAAAATCAATCAATATTTTTTGCAGCAGATATATAGCTTTATACACTTTAAAGCAGTTGACTGTGCAAGAAAAAAAGTTATCAACCTCGCCTAAGGTTTCTATTATAGGTAGTTCTAAACTAGCCTACGACATAGCATAGCTGTTATAATTTACGCCCGTGTACAATTATACTGTAATTTACGAGAAATTCTATTCCCTATTGTTATATCTTAATATCTATGATAAAACCCCTTTTTATCAGAATCGTATTACATGTATTACCGAAACTGTATTACTGATTAAAATAACTTCGTTCAAAGAAAAGAAATGAAACCCTAAATAAATATCTATTTTCTAAACTTTTAACTCAGACAAAAACAATTAAGAAAATGATGATAAAAAATATAGGTTTATATCTATTACTTCTTAGTATTACAGTAAAAACAAATTAGGAAAAAAACTTCAGCGCATTCACCATTGCATTCACGTGACGTAAACAAAGAAAAAGAAAAAACAACAACAAAAAACAAAACAAAAATGCGAAAATAATGGAGGAAAAGCATTATTTTTAACTTGAGATGCTTTAATTCATTAGTGTCGTAAAGCCCGAATATCCCAATTATAACACTTTGATACTTACTTCCGAAGAGCATTGCACCACCCATTCCACCCATGCTCCCCAATCCACCCATGCCGCCCATTCCTGCGCCCATTCCACCACTTGAGCCAGATCCACCTCCCATCAATGCAGCAAGACCACCACCGGCACCCCCACTCATCATAGCTCCACGCCCACGCCCATACATGCTCATCATGTTCATCATGTCATTGGTATTTCCTCTACCTGATGACCCACGGTTACTTTGCCCGGGTGCTGATGCGGACGCACCCTGACCGTTCACTACCATAAACAAACTCGCCAAACAAGCTACTACAATTAGAACATTCATCTTTAATCAATATCCTTCACGTTTGTTTTGTTTAAGAAGATTTTAAATTTTAAACTGATTATATCGTTTTCAAATTAAAACAAGGTGGTACTGCAATGCCTTTTTTACACACAATTCGGTAAGTACGAGTCCCTTTTCTTCCTAGATCTAGTAATCTTTATTACACTGTCTTCTGTAAGAGCTACAAAATTACAGTGTTAAAGCTTCAACGGAGAAAAAGTGACTAGTGCCCATGATGATGAAGAATGTAAATTTTGACTGTCAGTCTGTGGTCATGCTTCGAAAACCGCCGTAAAATGTCGTAAGAAATTTAAATTAGTTAAAGTCAGAACACAGAACCTATTCTTTCGTTACTTAAGTAATTACAATTAAGCGCGATGATATATTGTTAATTGTATGATAAAATCACGCTTGATTCACATTTTAGAATAAATAAGTACAGTTTTATTGTCTAAATACTAATTAAATGTTGGATTTGAAAAGAAGAACTTTTATGAACATTGAATTATTTGAACTTGCTACACACACATTAGCTAAATTTGACAAATGAGTGTGTGAGACGGACACTTATTACCATTTATTATTCTGACATCACAAATTGAAGAAGTGGAAGTCTGTTCTAAATCGCATGCATGTATATATGTAATTGTTTTAATTTACCGCATTTAGATATTTAAGATGCATTTGTGTATCTGAACATTGTAAACGTAACAGTTGTTTCTTCAAGGCTTTCTGCTTTTATGTTTTTGTCCGCTACACTCCGTTTCTATTTCCGGTATCTATTTGCGCAATCTCAAACGTATCGGCTTCGATTCCAAGTTTAAAAGACACATGAACGATAATCCTGTACGTAAATTTTGGCACTACAATCAAGGTACGGAAATAGCAAATATTCCACAAGAAACTCTGCAACACATGTCATTTCATAGCCAGTGTCGTTTTTATTTTTAATTTGACATATATTAGTTAATCACTTCAGACTACAGAGTGTTTTAAAAATATAGGACTGTTTTGTCTTTCTTTTTCTATATCATGAAGTATATTTCAGTCACAATTCACGTTTTAACAAGTGTATATACAGCCTTCAGTTTTCAACTTCCGGTCTAATAACATTTTCCATAGTATCAATCGATCAACCACATTTAAATTCAAAACATCTTTTACTTTATATTTCTAGTTCATAAACACCAAAGTTAATAAGACGTGCAACCTTATTAGAATTAGATGTGTTTTGAGACCAACTATACGACAGAACAAAAAATAACAAAGCCTCGTTTTGAAAGTTATTTTTATAAACCAAACAGTTAAAACATTTACATTATGATAATTGGACTGAATCATACACGCATTTAAAGTATTCTCAGTTTTGTATAAATCAGAAAATATCATCACCTCAGAATTGCCAAGCGGCTGTCAAATATTTAAAGAGTGCCATTTATCGTCTGCTGCAAGATATCTTCCTGTCGGAATTCGTCACGCTACTACCAACTTTGACAACCGCTGACAACATTTGATGTATACACTAGGCGAGATTTCCTTTTCATTTATTTTAGAATAAAACATAAATTTTGTGAGAAAAATATCAAAAATGTATATATAATATAATCTTTGATATTGGCTATATTACGGTTTTGTTCATTAGAGTCCTTCATTGTGCCGCGTAAACTTTTTGTTGAAAAAATGATTGATTTATAAACAAATGCATTGTTGGTAGTGTCGCAAGTTTAAATTTAGACATATAGTGGTGTTAAACGTACTTAAGCAATTTGTTCTTGTTGTTAATGTTGTTTGTCCACTGAACATAACTTGTTCATCTGAAGATAAATTACTTTGTCAACAGCGCTTTACTTTCACCAATGTCTCCTTGTGCCGGGTTAAAATATTCTTCCAGTGTTGACAAATCAAACAAGATTTCGATAGAAGTTCATACTTATGTAGCAAATGTTTATTTTTTCAAATGTCTGATGAAGCAGGTAAAATATCCCAAATGGCGACTCCAAGGTTGTTAATTCAAAATATTATTTATACATGAAAAAACCAGTAATGGCATTCCAAGACCACGGCACATGCGCATCCTAAACATGTCCTGCATATTAACTGTAATAAACAAAACAAATACAAATACATTTTAAAACAAAAGTGTGGGAACAAACGCTTTAAATGATGTAATCGCTGTTATTAAACGCTTTCATAATGTAACTTCCGGAAATCATAGTACACAAAACGCATACCATCTTATTATAAATTCCACTGCAAATGCAGGACGTTATACAAATCATATTATGTCTGGGTCTACATTTTGCTTCCCTTTTTATTCACGAAAATTATTTCCATTTTCTCGAAAAGATAACATGAAGTCTATGCATTTTATACATTATGTCCATCCCAACTTCTGTCAATCGTTTTGTTTTGCTATCAATTGATGTACGTGCTCATACAGAGAAACGATGGCAAGTATTGTAGACACGCCATGAATGGGAACATATTATTAGCGTCCACTGCAAAGAAAAAGAAACCAAAACATACGTATATTCCACCTATACAAAGCATTATATGTGTACAAGACACCAGTCAATTGTTACCAAGGCCCCATCCTCTATCAGTGCGGGAGACAACCCATTTTTTTATTATCCGCCTTACCTTTGTTGGGTCAATGCGGTGATTTTATTTTGGTGCCAAAATAGCGGGGACTATTTCCAAATGGCAGTGTGGCGAAATTAAGTGCGAAATTTACCCCTCCCGCCACCCCCATTCTCAAAGCGAAGTCTTGATTGGGAATTTGAAAATCCACAAGATAACATTTCCCCCTAGTCACTCCCGCCTACCCTTCCCCAAACAAATTGTTTCAACAAATGACCAGGGTCACAATTGACTGGTGCTAAACCGCTACCACATTCTTAGTGCTACAACTTTTGGAACAACATATTAGCAAACTTATCTGTTCCTGAAGCAAAGCAAAATGGGAGACAAATAGCTAATTAAGTGAAAGAAAATAAAGACGACAGCTTGAAGCAATGCATTCGTTTAAATCAAGATATGGAACTATAAATAACATTTAACCCTTTACCTGCTGAATTTTTTTAAATGGTCTTGCCCAGCTTCCATTTTAGAACAGTTCATTAAAAATTTTGGGTTGTTAAGATGAACATTAAAAGTGCTAAAAATCACTTTTGATCTCAGTAGGGTAATGGTTAACAAGTTTTTCCAAAAATCTAGGGTGGCTTATTTGTGCCATGTCCTTTTTTTGGCTCCGCAGGAGCCAGGCGAAAACACGAAAATATGGCAATCGTACCTTTGCTCAACGTGTCGTCAGGCGAAGACACGACACAGTGTAACATTGCCTTATTCTCATGTTTTCGCCTAGGTCTCCACGGGGCGAAAATACGATAAAGTATTGACTTTGTCGTATTATCTTAATTAGGAATTGCGTCCCACGGAGCACGATAAAATGTTTGTTTCGTTCTGCGCCTCGTGGAGAGAAAATACGAATGGCACAAATCAGCCACCATAAAAATCACAAAATTGCAAAAGAAACAACTTTTTTTCTCTCTAAAAATATCTTTAGTAGTTGAAGCACTGTGTTAAAATTCTGAATTCTGAAATGCATTTAGGCAAACACATCAATTTGTTTCAAAACATTGGTAGTTTGGAGGAAGCTTGTAAAAGTGTCAGAACTTTAATATTAAAAATTCTCAAGAATTCATTTATTCATTACAGTTGTGTAGTTCTGAAATTTTAAACAAGCGTGCAAAATTTTAGACTCATGCATACGTCATTCAAAATATCAGTAACAGGTGCTCCATCCAGGTGCTTCTCCGACGACCTCTTTAATTTTATCTATTCATGTGCATTAATAATTCTTTTCTAAACTAAGAATTGAGAATATGTTCTGGATCTCCTATTTTGTTCATTGATAAATCCTCGAATTTTATTTCTATGTAAGCGTTTCTAGTGGAAAACCTTTTTTCCACATTTTTTTAAAACACCTTTTCCCATCACTTTTTTCCATACACCTTTTACACATTTTCTGGAACTACCATTTCCACACTCTAAGCGCATGAAAGGCGTATAACTCAGAAATAAAAAAAAACCACGTGAACTTTTTGTTCAAATTTGTTCAAGATTTCTGATAAGCTTACGAAAACAATAGATGAGACAATGGCGTAAAAAAGAAACATTTGTTAATTCACAACCACAATATTTCTTATAAAAACGCACTGTATTATCCTACGACATAGCATAGCTGTGTAAGGCCACATGTGTCACAAATCACATTCGTCACAATTGTGAAGAATGAGATCACATTCGTCACAAATTTTGTGATGCATGTGATCCAATGTTTTAGACAATCACATTCGTCACGAGTTTAAAATCACAAATGTCACAAATTTGAGATAAATATTGTTTTCTTCAATGCTTTTCACTGAGTCACAAACGTCACAAATTTTTAGGACTGAAATCAATTATTGGAACTAAAACTACAGACATTTTTATCCCCTCCCCCGCTGATGAAATCGGGAGTGATGGGACTGTTTTAGCGTGTTCGTCCGCCTGTCAGTCCAGATTTAGTTTCCGCACTATCCGGCCATTGATTAGTTATTATACACTGTATATGGAATCATTTCGTTTCCACGCTATTTTTCAGCAACTTCTGGATGGATATTCGATGCTGCAACTTTGTAGGAACCTTCATTCACAAACAGTTGCACATATAACCAGCATATCTCCATTTCTTTTTAAAAACAGACTTATTGCCCCTTGTTGTTGTTGTTATTTATAAAACACTGTATATAGAACTATTGCTTTTCTGCGCTCTAGGAATTTCAACGAAATTTAGTTTAATATAAAGAGGAGATGCGCATCTCGAAAAATCTCGACGGGACACTAAAGGATTTGGTCCGACTTGAGGGTACGGTCGCTTATATGGGCTTTCCGGCGGCGACTTTAGATAAAACACATAAACAAACAAACAAGATGTGCATATCATCATCATCATCATCATCATCATCATCATCAGTATTTCCCGTTGGCCGTTTAATACAGAGTTATGATCCATAATTTATTATCATTTATTGTTCATAGAAAAGCATTAATTCAACCCTATTCTTCAACAAATCTGCTGAATAATTTAAACAAAACTATGTGGGTACATCTAATACCAAGCGGAGATGTGTATATTGACGGCACTTACCCGAAGTTAAGACCCCTGGTTGCTTAATATTCAGTCAGATAACTTAAGTATTTCATGTCTTCAAATGTTAAATATATCTAATTTTAATTGTGTGGGAACCTTCAATACAAAAAGGGCATGTGCATTATCGCCGTGACCTTGAGTGATATGGGCCCTGATAATTTTATGCTTTAACCGACTATTTCCCCGGAGTCTTTTATTCGAAATGTATCCTGCAATTGTTTAATTTTCAAATCAGTATATGATGCTGTCGGCGGTAAACATTAATTCAGCGAATTTGCTTGCAAGATATTTGAATGACCTCGTGTAATTATAGCTTCGCAAGACCAATCATATTCTACAAGAAATGTTAAGTTTTCTTTAAGTTTATTTATTCAACTTTCCTTCATGATTCTCATTTAACCCTTTCCTTTATAGATATTACTGGTAAAATAACTATATGAACCGCGCCATATTGAACCCTAGATGAGCCGTCAGTACTAAAGAACTCTGATATAATATAGGAATAACGCATGTTTCTTTTTTTCGTGTTAAAATATCTGTAGAAACCCAAGGGATTAGTTGGTACCCGACCCAACGTATCCCGAGGGTTTCAGCAGTTGTTATGACACGGAACAATCATTCGTTAACGCTATTCTAGCATAAAGCATGCATAAATCTAACACAATCCATACACAATCAAGCAACATCACTGATTTTTCCTCGGATTGCACGGGAACGTCAGCGTTGTATGTGACCGTGACGTCATTTCCGTTTTAGTTAAGCAGCGTCCGGCCACAATGTATTGACGCTGTGCACGGAAAACGTATATCAAAAAGGTGTTTTAAACAGCGCATGAGCGCTAGAATCTCCTTGTTAAAAGACCTTTTTGGTCCTGTTAAAACACCCCGAAATCATGGTTATAACGGCAGTTTTATGCTAGAATATAAAGTAATGAATAACAACATGGATTCCAAGAAGACTAAAAGCAAACTCACATTGCACAATACTAGCCGCAATTATAATACTGCTAATAAAGTTCACGAATTTTCATTGGTTTAGAGGCGGGATATATTTATAGGTTATTACAGAGGTCTGATGTGCCTTTATTCGATTTTGGCCCACTAAAAGAGCCCGAGGGCTAATACCGATCTTGTAGACCCATATCGCATTAAGGCACACCAGACCTGTTCTATAACCTTTTTATTGCATGTGCTCATTTATGTTTTGGTTTTCATTATAGAATTAAAAAAAATCGTTTTGAAAACATTGTTCAGCGACAATGTATAATTTATTTTAAAAAGCGAGGGACTTTTGACGTCGTCTAATGACGTTGACGTCATTTCCTCACAAACATTTGTTTTTAATATATTTTGGGCGTTATTTAACTGTTTGGAGATTGTTTTTTCAAGTGTTTCTTCAATTTTGCTTTTTTATCAAGATATATTTCAGTTAAACGTATTTTTTTCTTATAAAATTGTCAATCTTTCCGCGTTTTTTTAGCAACCCGAAGTGGGAATCGATATCGGCCCAACCGGAAGTCGGACCGATATCGATATTTGGCGCATCACGTCACCTGACCACAGTCAAATTACATGGACAAAACTCATATACGTTTAAATTCACATTTTTTTTCTATTTATAGTGTTTGCCGTTGCGTATTTATAGGTTATTACACAGGTCTAGTGTGTCTGAATGCAATATTGGCCAAGAAGAGGTATTGGCCCGAGGGCTTTAGCGGTCTCGTAGGCCAATATAGAGGATATTACATGAGTGTCTTTTCATATTGAATTTATTAAACGAGTTGGATAAAATAATAAAATGCTCGGCAGAGCCTCGCAATTTATTATTTTATCAAACTCGTTTAATAAATTCAATATGAAAAGACACTCATGTAATATCCTATATTTATTTGATGCTAACTAATGAAATACTGTTCTATCAATGAAATATATTCATATTATATCAGTCACAGTGTGGTGATATAGATTTGGGTGATATAAGCCACGCCCACTCTGCGTACGTATTTATAAGTCTGGATTCCCTAAACATGCATTAAAAATAACTGTTTAATTTCATTCTAAATGACATATTTCTCGATTCAAATGTCCGTAATTTTGTAAGATTGTTGACAATGAGACCGCAAAAAGAAATATAAATAAATAAGGATTATTTTGCTTGCAGCGTTAACGTTTGCCGTCATATTGTTTACGCGCGCGCGTAGTCTCCGCGCTTCAGTAATAAACGGTCTAAAAGCACTTTTCAAAAGGCACATAAAATAAAAAGAAAATGTGTTTGCTTTTCGTGAATATGAACTATATCTCACATCGAAGTGAGAAAATGTTCATATTTTCACTCGCGCTACGCGCTCGTGATACATATTTCATTTTTTTTCTCACTTCTCAGTGAAATATATTTCATATTCACTCAAAACAAAACAAATATCCTCTATAAAATTCACTAAACACCGTCGTTTGAAACTATCTAATCATAAAAGGCGAAAAAAGCTAAGACGCGTCGAAACGATAAAGCGGCCCCGCCACAAAGACACGATCTGTTTAAACGAATTAACTATATTATTATTACTAGTGGAATAGATATGGAAAGTTCCATAGAGCGTCTGCAAGCAATTGGCACAGACTTGCAAAATCGTCTCAGGAAAGAAGGTTCCTAGATGTCAAAATGTCATACTCTTTAATTGAACCAAGATTCCTGAAAGTCTGCGGAAGTCAAAAGTCTGTCAGACCAAAAAAGGTTCATTGATGTCAAAAGGTCCTAATCTCTAATTAGATATCCTGAAAGTCAACGGGGGTCTCAGCTACTTCCCAAACAATCATATATGGTCTCATTGGTGTAAATATGGTCATAATTTGTACTGAAACTAAGATTAAGTCTGTGAGATTCCTTTAGACTGTCGCTGTATGGTGGGAAGAAATTTGAGGGTTCACAGAGGTAAAAGATCACTTCCAGTTGAAGTCTGATACTATGCCGTGCATTGTCACCAAAATTTTTTGAAGGTTTCGAGAACGTAAGACGACTTGATAGCAATACCATTACGACAATGCGACAGTTCTATGAAGACAATACAATGCCGACGATACGATATTGCAACAAAGTTAGTACGATGGCGATAATGCAATGGTGGTGAAAAGATATTGGTATCGTGATGTCGACATCACAATATCGATTTATTGCATTGTCGCCCTTGTACTATCGCACTGATATAACCACGATTGTCCTTATGATATTCCGTGTATCACATATTGAAAAATAAACTTGTGACATTTGTGATTCGCCTGTTTAAAAATTCTCAATTTTGCTTGTGACGTTTGTGATTGGCATTTTTACCCGATTTTGGTCAATCACATTCGTCACAAAAGTCATTTGTGACGAATGTGATCACATTCGTCACAAATTCATAAAAACTTGTGACGAATGTGATTTGTGACCCATGTGGCCTAACATAGCTGGTATAATTTACGCCTGAGTAATTTACACATAATCTATTTAAGGTCATGCCGCCAGATAAATTCTACTCCCTATTGTTGCTATATTAATATCTAGATAAAACATCTTTTGTCAGAATCGTATTATTTACAGAAACTGTATTAATGATTAAAATATCTTCGTTCAGAGAAAAAAATAAAACCCTAAATATATCTAGTTTTTAACTCTTAACTCAGCGGAAAATTTAAGAAAATGATGATAAAAAATTGGTTTTATCTATTACTTCTTGGTATTATCAACAGTAAAACAAATTAGCAAAACACTTCAGCGCATTCACCATCGTTATGATAATAAACGTGACGTAAAAAAAAAAATAAATAAATAAAAAAAAACAAATCATAATTCGAAAATAATGGAGGAAAATACGTTATTTTTAACTTGAGATGCTTTAATTCATCAGTGTCGTAAAACCCGAATATCCCAATAAAAACACTTTGATACTTACTTCCACCGAAGAGCATTGCACCACCCATTCCACCCATGCTTCCCAATCCACCCATGCCTCCCAATCCTGCACCCATTCCACCACTTGAGCCAGATCCACCTCCCATCAATGCAGCAAGACCACCCCCGGCACCTCCACTCATCATAGCTCCACGCCCACGCCCGTACATGCTCATCATGTTCATCATGTCATTGCTATTTCCTCCCCCACGGTTACTTTGCCCGGGTGCTGATGCAGACGCACCCTGACCGTTCACTACCATAAACAAACTCGCCAAACAAGCTACTACAATAATAACATTCATCTTTAATCAATATCCTTCACGTTTGTTCTGTTTAAGAAGATTTTAAATTTGAAACTGATTATCGCTTTCTAATTAAAACTAGCTGGTACTTCAATGCGTTTTTTTTTACACACAATTCGGTGACTACGAGTCCCTTTTCTTCCTAGATCTACTAATTTTTATTACACTGTCTTCTGTAAGAGCTACAAAATTACAGTGTTAAAGCTTCAACGGAGAAAAAGTGACTAGTGCCCATGATGATGAAGAGTGTAAATTTTGACTGTCAGTCTGTGGTCATGCTTCGAAAACTACCGTAAAATGTCGTAAGAAATTTAAATTAGTTAGTCAAAAGACAGAACCTAATCTTTCGTTACTTAAGTTATAGAGTAATTACAATTAAACGCGATAATATATTATTAATTGTATGATAAAATCACGCTTGATTCACATTTTAGAATATAGAAGTACAGTTTTATTGTCTAAATACTAATTAGTTTATTACTTTGACATCACAAATTAAAGTTGTGGAAGTCTAAATCGCGTGCATGTATATATGTACTTGTTTTAATTTACCGCATTTAGATATTAAAGATGCATTTTGTGTATCTGAATATTGTGACCGTAATAGTTGTTTCTTCATGGATTTCCGCTTTTTTGTTTTTGTCCAAAACAGCCCGTTTCTATTTCCGGTATCTATTTGCGCAATCTCAAGGTAGCACTCCATACTCAATTTCAAGTTTCTGTAAACTACACAACCTGGAAAAAGAAAACACATTTTGTTAAGAACATATATATGTCATAACATTGCAAATCTATAACTCCAAAGCAAATAAGATGTGCAATAATATTAGAATTAGATGATGATGAAAAATAATAATCTAGTAATACAAGTCATCCTGACAAAACATATGCAGAAAAAAACTTTTGTAAGCAGAGTGGTGATACCCGTTAAAATCAGTGCCTTCAGTGCTTTGATTTAAGATTTTTTGGGGATTTTTTTGTGATTTACATAATACTGTTACACATGTTTGTTCATCGTAGCTTTCTTAAGTAAAACAGAATGTATGATAAGTTTAAATCCTGATTGAATATTTTGAACGGGATATCTTTTAGTGAAATTTAAGATAACCGAATATTCAGAGGCTCGCACAGTTTTGAAACCGGGTATCTTCTTTCCGCTGTCAAATACAGACGCCAGACATGTCACCAGTCAAGCTCATAAAGGGTTATTTTTAAGCACGAAGTGATAATTTACCTCCATTCAATTACTACGAAACCAAAGATATAAATTTTGAGCCAAATGTAGATCACTGTACGGCGGCCAATGAGAATAACCTAGGACAATATGAATTGGAGGAAGCAAGGGTTGTTGGTGCCAAGTTAAGGACTTACATGCCTTTCGAGCCGTTACTGTCTGTGCTTTGGGCTCACGCATCATAGCAGACTTTTTTTGTCTTACACTACTTTGTAATTGATACGAATGTGGGTATATTGTTAATATAAATTTAATATGGAATTGCTTGGAATAAATTGTCTCTGTTTCTATACGGCCTCCTATACAATTAACAAGCTTTATTAAGGCAATCAGAATGGAGAATTTTATACTAAAGCCAATCATACTGATGTGTTCCAGGTATCGGGCATTAATCATTTATTGAACTGTGAACTGTGTAACAATTGTGTATTTAGAAACTTTACCTAAATGATCTTTACTTTATTAGTGGGTTGTGAAATCCAGTACCAGTTGTTGACTTTAACAAGGCATAAAATGAAAAATGAACTGTGCATTGACTTTTAAACAACACACTTTAGCTTATTTAAACAGGTTATACCTAATATATTAGCTGCTGGTACTTTCTGTGTAAGAAATCCTTATTTGTAACACTTTAGCTGTAATTGTTTGTAAACAATCCTTTTAATCTTGACTTTAAGCTGTCATAATTCCTTAAATGTTAGTATTTTTATTTAAAGTCTGATTTCCACAGATGAAGAATATATCTATATATAATATAAAAATTTTTGAAGTGTTGCATCTGATTAGTACTACATTTTAATATACATATCTGGTTCAACTGCAAGTAGATGACTCATTCTCGAAAGTCTTTGCCTAACTAATACGAACCATTAGAACAGTTACGTCCCTATAAGATAATAAAAGCGCTACCAAAAATAGAAATAATTCAACAAACAACTCCTGCTAAAGCCCTGTACTGTCGGCACTTTACAATATCATTAGTTCTTAGCTCGATTGCGAAACAAGTTCTTGCGACTTAAATTAATCACTTTCGAGTGCGCTTCCTGGAACTAACCAGTATTGGTGTCAAATGAGAAAACATGATCGTGATCCGAGTAGGGATTGAGCCTTTATTTCCTCGGTATCTATGTGTAGTAGTGTGCAATCGGAGGGTTTAAGAATATTCGGGAGATTTCTTTCATAAAGAAGACAAAGTTAGTTATTTTGTAGAAAATTGTTCTTTACTCAAATATCTATGGTGGAACAAAGGTGACATGTGTGTGTTTTTATTTAATCGTGCGCACGAGATACTATGTCGTGGCCACGAGTTACTTAATCGTTGCCACGAAATAGCTTAGTCATGGCCACGAGATACTATGTCGTGGCCACGAGTTACTATGTCGTGGCCACGAGATACTATGTCGTGGCCACGAGATATCTAAGTCGTGGCCACGATATACTATGTCGTGGCCACGAGTCGAGGCCACGAGATACAATTTCGTGGCCACGAGTTACTAAGTCGTGGCCACGAGATAATTATGTCGTGGTCACGAGATATTATGTCTTGGCAACGAGTTACTAAGTCGTTAGAACAAGATAATTAACCAATCAGAATACACTATATATATTATGATTTTTATTTGTTTGGGTCGTCAGACTAAACAAATAATTGTAGCGGAATTTCAGAGTCTAATGCTGTTTATTGCAAATGCCAAAAGTAGTCCGCTTTTTTGAAGCGGTTACTCCCCTTTATATGTCACACTAAGGACGAAAAATTCAGGGGAAATCACTGCGTAAATATGGTCACATGACAGGCGCATTAATTTTCAAGCAAAATAATTCCCGAATGGTCGAAGATTTCTAATATTGTTTTATACATGCTTATAGTAAGCGCCATGATTATTTACACAAGTGTTAAACAACAGTTAGCGTCGTTACGAACCCTAATTAAGAATATGATGGTTTTCTTCAGGCCATGTATATATAAATTCACCATGGCCGAGGGGTCTGGAGTTCAAATCCCAGTTAAGGCAACTCATTTTTTTCAAATTGTTTAAGTCAAATAAACATTGGTTTGAATAACAGTGTTGAAATTTGTCTTATAGCCAATCTACTACAATTAAAACGCTAGAAAGCATTGGTGGCACTATACGAAATTAAATTGTTTTATAATCTCAAAACCTTCACCTTTCTGACATTCTGAGACCCAAACAAATTCAGTGCCTTCTGTGCTTTGATTTTAAAACTTAACAACTTACTTTTACTTGCAACATTAATCTTTAGGATCATATTAGAAAGTCACCTTCCAAGGCCCATTAGACATTAATTTTGACTGTTAACCTTGTTAATACGATAACATGAGGAGGAATAAGAACTGGTTTATTTTGTTTGGAAGGGACATTTCCCATGGACAATAGATAGCCTATAAGGATGTTTGAGATCAAGGGTCAAGGTTATCCTGACACTTCATGTAAAATCCCTTTCTGATGAATAATTTAAAAGAGATAATCCATGGTTTATTAGCCCAGAAAGATCATTGCACCTGATCAGTATAGGACATTAAAAAATTTCAAGGTCATTGGGTAAAAAAACAGAGTCAAAGTGACGCTAAATGTAAAATTATTGACCAGTTAATAAGTTGTTTAAATAGCACTTTTACCGGACATCCTTGTACTATAGCACATGTCATGTTAATTAGGAAAATTCATTTAAATGGTGTAATCTGATTGGTTATTTATCTCGTGGCCACGACTTAGCTATCTCGTGGCAACGACGTAGTAACTCATGACTACGACATAGTATATCGTGGCCACGACTTAATTATCTCGTGGCCACGACATAGTAACTCGTAGCCACGACAAAGTATCTCGTGCGCACGAGATGAATAAAAATCACACACATTTCACCTTTGTGCCACCGTTATTATCCGGTTGAACAGCGATTCTTAGCATTATTGGACATGCTTACACTTTTTAAAATTTATGATTCTGGTTACCAGAAAGTCTGAGCCAAAGTCAACCTGAGAATACTTCTAAGGGAGTACAACACATTTTTGAAAACGTTTTAATGATTCTTCTGGCAGGGTAGCTTCCCTTGGACCTTGAGGTGGGCTTGTCTCAGCGTTAATTTCGGAAATTCGACTTTGGTAGGATTTATCCGGTTTATCCATTTGAAGATAAAGCTGGATAGGGTCTTTTGCAAAATTTCGTTTCAATCAGGATTTTTCGAACAGAATCTGAAAGACCCTGTTTCAATATATCGGCATCTTTATCCGAATATGGCGATATTAATACATTCTAGCATGACACAATAAATCTTTGGGGAAAGTTGTTTTTGTGCATCTGCACATTATCAGTGTACCATGAGGTATTATTTTGAATCTTTCAACACTTCTTATAATCAAATTCCTATTTCTGAGCCGAAGGACAACTCTTAAATCAATTTAACAGGGTTATGCTCCTTTATTGTCGTAGAATTATTAAAAAGTTTTTCATTCTTTTTTGGAGTTATTATATATTTCTCAATTCAAGGCAAGATGACATAACCCTGTCTTGTAATTAAAAATTATGCTTTTTTTTGAGTAGTAAAATTTGGTTATATTTTGGTACAACCCAACTGTTTGAGAAATATGGTAATTTTATGTTATATCTCAACGGTTTTGCAATAACCGTTTAAGTTAAACTTTGAAAACTTCAAATTCTTTTAAATAACCATCGTGCAAACAAAGAGGACATGCAATAACTCTGAACAATAGGTTTTAATAAAATTTTATCCCATTTTCGACTTAGAATTTAAGTAATGTATTTGTACGGCCAAATTATTTCATTATACCCATTTGTTAATAACCCTCATTCATCACACCTTCAGACA